CGCTTCTGGTGTATTCCATGGATTACCAATTGGGCTGGCTAAATGCAAGCCCGGTTGGATATGTGTCTACTATATGTGAACACTGTTGCTTATCTGCCCTACTGATTCCTGCCACCTTTTTGGGTGAGGATGCTCATTTGGCGTCAGAAGAGTCGGCCATATTTTCAGCCATTGTATAGAAGGATCAAGAGGTACTGAGTGCACACTGGAGTGATAGGTGGCATTTCTAGAAGTCCAACCCAATTCGTTGTGCCATTGTCGAGCAGATTCTGACCTTCTCTCGCAAGTCTTGCTCAGTAATGCCCCACCAGCCGAGGCATCAACTATATTCATTCAAGCTGTCTGACAATCCCATGTAAAACCGTTGTCCCAACATCTTTGTCTGGAAACCATGGTAGGGACACATAACCAAACATTCCTTTAAATCTGCCCCATGTCTGTTTGTAGTGTCTCCATTGGTTCTGTTTGAAAACTCACAATCTCATCAATTTTGTTGAGCGGGGTCTTTGTTAGGCAGGGATGGAATTTGTTGTGAGAATGCTGACCAACTCATCCCAGTTGCTATTAGAGTTTATGGGAAGCGAGTTTAGCCAAAACCTGAGAAGCTCCTGTCACCGAGAATGGAACAATAATAATCTGATTGCTTCCGGAGTCCAGTTCGGTTGCCTTTGAGTTTTGCAGAATAGACAGGAAAAGTTTCTTTAAGTGTTGACTGTGGGTCTTCTGTTTGTGTTCCAGAAAAAAGTCCCTTGTTCTGCAACAAGTGTAGCATGTTATTTGTGATCTGGAACGATTCAGCTTGTATTGCAGGTACAAAATGGCGTGGCCAGATTGTAGTTGTTGGTTGTTGCCCAGTCATAAAGTGCACCCTCAGGCACAGGAGGGTGCCAGTTGCTCATTCCTGACGTTCAAGTTTGGGTCATTTTATGTCGCCCATGTCAATTTCGAGTTGGTGATGTATTTGTTGTGATTGTTGAAGTCTTTTGTTTGCACGATTCAATGCCCGGAATGTTCCTCTCGGGGTCCGAGAGTCCTTCAAGCAGTTCTCCAGTCCTCGTTAGAATTTCTTAGGCATGCAACATTGTGCACATGTGCACCCAGATCAACAACTGTCAAATTTTCAATGAAAAAGTTGGTAGAGAGAAAACTGACTATAACAAGAATCTTTGTATTTCTGTCAATGGCAATTGATAATTCCGTTAAATCCCCGGCAACGGCGCCAAAATTTGATCACGCCCAACTATGCCTTATAAAAAGGACTCTACGGACGTTGCAAATATAACCCGAGTATTACGCCCAGGGTCGAATCCACAGAGAGTTAACCTATCAACTGCTATCTTCAGACCCACTAAGTCTTCAGAACCAGCTTCCCAAAAAATTCGAATCTCCGTTGAGTGTTCTTTAATAACTAGCTTGCAAATAACTAAATGGCTGTAACTAAGTAAAAATTAAAGGTTGTAAACAATTATGAGAAAAAGCTAAGGCAATGATTTCCCCTATTGATGGAATCCCTTCTGTTTGTGCTCATACAAATTTATCCACACATCTCTATCAATTATGAACGCTAATCTTACCGTAAATCTATCCCGAGTAATCACAGTAATTTACTATTGCACTCTCCCGAGATACACTAGCTTACTTTATTTAGCATAATTCAATTTAGATTGCACCCAAGGCTTCGTTATTCCTAATCCCGCCTTTAAACCCACAATTATAGATTCCTCTAATAATCTAGGAGTGGTGTTGTTCAACAATACCCTAAATATGCACTCTTTTCCAAGTTATGCACACTAAATAGGCACAACCAATTGAGGATCCTGTCAATTAGCTACAACGAACACGAAGTTGAACAAATAAAGATTAAACGAGCAATTTGTATTCACATAAACAAGAAGTTCATCACCCAATAGGTTCCATCAAAGCCTTAGACAAGGAATTTAGCTACTCATGACTATGGGCACGTAAACTAAGCTTAAATGCATCATAAAATCAAAAGAAAAGAAGAAAGCTGTTTAGAGTACTTTCTCACAATTGTTTTCCTTGCTAAGAAACCTAAAAAATCAATACATGCCTCTCTTGGGCGAAGTCTAATGTTTTAAATAGGGTTTAGGTCTAAAAATCCCGTAATTGACACTTTGGTCCCAGAAGTTTCTGCGCCTGCCGCGGTTCTGCCGCGGTCGCGGTAGAACCGCGGCCAAACACCCTCGCGGAATCTCTGAACTTCTGCAGCTGCTTCCCACCGCGGTTCTACCGCGATCGCGGTGGAACCGCGGTGGATCCAATTCTCTGAATCTTCGGCCTGTTTTTGCACGGGTCACTTAGGAAATTTCACAGTTGGCCTCTTTTTCATCACTTTTGACTACAAAACTGCTCCTTAGCCGTCTTTATACATATATCACCTACAAATCATGAAAAGCACTAATAAGAGCATTTTGTCATCACTTTTAGCATTAAAACTACACAAGAAGGTGATTATTTAAGGTGTGATTATAGTCAAATTCACCTATTATCAAGTCCCTTCCTAGTTTCTTAGCTATATTGTTTCCTTTCGTCCAGAACAATTGTATTTTCTTTCAAACTGTGTTTGTAGTAAATCTTAGAAGCTCGTGAATCGTGGCACCAGATCTGAAATGTATCAGTTATTATGGGTTTTACGTTATTCCGCAAACTCAGTTTTAGCTTCTGTTTAGCTTAATTGTTTGTGTTATTAAAAGTGACTGAAGTTGACATATGAATCCTCTAACGTTGGCTTGCTTACCAAGTGAAATGTTAGGCACCATCACGGTCCCGAAGGTGGGAATTCCGGGTCGTGACAAGTTGGTATCAAAGCAATAGGTTGCCTAGGCCTCACAATTCACGAGCACGCTTAGTAGAGTTTGGAGGATCGGTACGGAGACGTCTGTACTTATCTTCCAGAGGCTATGAAGCTTAGGAACAAATTTCACTTCTATTCTGCTCTGTCGTGCGATTTTTTTCTCTGATTGCTAATTGAACTCTTCTACTCTTGTTCTCTCGTAGATGAGCAGCAGCCAGAACCCCCATTGGCAGCTCCAACGAGGAGCAGAGGTCAACCCTGAGCTTGTCAAAAGCCTATGAAATCAGGAGATCGACGAAGTTGATCAAAGCTCACCATAGAACCAAGCCGTTGGGCCTCCTCAAAGGTTGAGCCTTTACCTACTGGCCTGGCCTCACCAGCCCTAGTCGAACCAATCTCGTCAGAAGCACGATCGCTCGAGACCCTACTTGACTTAGGCGGCCCCGGGTCCTGAGCATCACTCGAAGTGCCTTCGACGGGGGGCGAGAACGACGGCTGAACACATGTATCCCTCGAAGTACCTTCAGCGAGAAACGGAGACGGCAGTAAGAGAGGGACCAATTTTCCAAGGTAAGAAGCCTCAGACGCCACATGATCGACAAATATATCTTCTTTGGGCCTTTGAGTAGGGCTTGCCTCGCTACGAGCATCCTCATTCTTCGAAGACTCCTTCCGCTTGTTATCAGTCCTCGGCCCCAAAGCCAACGATTCTCCCTCCTTCCCGAGGGGGCTCACCCTCATCACAGAAAAATCTCCAATACCTGTGGGAACAGAGTTAGCACACACAAAAAAAGTGCCTCTCAAAGAAAGCGAGCCACATACCACGTACCGTGGTGTTTTGCCTCCCATCTACCCTTGGCTAGATCTCGCCACTTACGCTCATCATAAGTCGAGCAAGCTGCCAGTTTCCTAGACCAATCCGCCAGGTCGGGTACCTCGTGTGGCATCCACGGGATCGCAGCAAAAATACAGAAAGGGAGAGCATCTTTACAGGGTCTGCCTTCACCATGGGCAAGAACAATAAGAACGTAAGTGTACCACGTACGTGTGAAGTTCCATTTCTTAGGAAATGGAAGGAACTCTGTGGGGATAATATCGACAGTCCGCACTCGGACGAAATAACTCATCCACCCTCGGTCCCCATCCTCATCATTGCTGGCAACAAAGGGCCGAGTGGATCGACGGTGCAGAGTAATCAAGTCTCGATGATGCAAGGGTCGGTAAAATCTAAGAAGATGACTAAGGGTAAACTCAAGCCCGGCTTTCTGTACAAAATATCTTATCATAAGCACTATCCTCCAAAACGACGGGTGAACTTGTGCCAGGGTAATCTGACATCTCCTACAAAATTTGATCACGACTCTATCAAGAGGTCCCAACATAAAGAGGTACGTATATACGTTCAAAAACACCTCGACATGAGCCATGATGCTCTCTTCCAGGGAAGGTACCTGCAGTACTACTTCTTCTCCCCATCGGTAGTCTTTTCTAACTGCCTCGAGATGCTCCTCCAATATCGACGAAATAAACTTCGATGCTCCCGATAGACCTGAATATTGGAAGGTCTCTCTAGCGCAAAATCCCTCCTCGTAACGAAGCACCTCAAGGTTAGTTCACCAGAAACCGGCGGTGTACCACCGACTGAGCGCGAAGCAGTGGCGGAACTCTCCTCTCCGTGGTGAACGGGTTTGGGCGCAGCGGCCACGGCTACGGTAAAATAAGAAAAGGGAAGGTAAAGTCTTGGGCAAAAGCTTTTGAAGAGGCAGAGCCCTGAGATGAGAAATAAGTTAGTGTATATATAGAGCAAGCAACGACTGTTCGCCTATCCTGAAGGCCACTTAATTCTGACCATGTTAGTGTCATTTTTGGAAAATGCACCGGTGGGACCACCACGGTCACTTCATAACCATGGCACACAAATGATACTGACACGCGGCACTAAGAAGCCAGTAAGACCCCGAGATGGTGCCCGATCACGGGGGCCCCGACTACTTCAAGTATGGGCTCCGAAGAGCCAGCATCAAAACTCAACGGGATAACTGTACATAAGCATTGAAAAATAAATTCGAGGACTTGAAGCAGAAAAATTTTCTTACATTGCCAAAAATATATTTACAAGGGGCGTCTTTACAAGACCTTTTCCCCAAGGAATTCATATACAAAAGAAAAAGGAAATGACACAGGTCTATTCTTCGTCGCTGCTACTCTCCGGGTCATCTACAGAACCCTCATCTGAAGTGGCCGAAAATGCCGATTCTTCCTCCAAGTCTCGGGCTTCCTCGATCTCAGCTGAGAGATCGACGCCTTTAGCGCTTGCCTCGTCGAGAGCTTGCCTCCTTGCCTTGGAACTAGTGTGAGCAGTGGCCCGGGTTAGCTTCTGCCCGACCTTCTTTGATATCTCTCGAGCTCGTTCATTTGCAGTGGCGGCATCTTTCTTATACGAGGACGCATCCGCTTTGGCTGCAGACTTGGCCGCCACTAGCGCGACAACCTCCTTCTTAGCACTTTGAAGAAGGTCCCGGGTCGACGACAGTTCCGTCCGCAGAAGGTCCCTCTCCGAGGCCACGGCCTCATGTTGCCCCCTCAGCTCGAGGACCTCCGCATCCTTGGCAACGACCTCTCCCTAAAGTTGCCCCCAAGGGCATCCTTTTGCTCAATCTGCAAAGGTAAAGCAAATTGGTAAACATTGAGTTATAACAATAAAGGGCAAGTTAGAAATACAGTGTTACCTGCTCAATGAGGCCAACTTTTTCTTGGCACGCTCCCTCCAACCTCGCCCGGAGTCCGCTCAACTCCTCCTCCTTTCGGGCAGAAGAGGCCTCCGACTCTTTCAGTGCTGAGGTAAGCACCTCGAGCTCCTTCCCGCAGCACGAAACCTCATCTTGGAGCCTATGGAAGGCACGATCGTACATCTTCTTAGCCTGCAACAACGCAGAAAGGTTAGAAAGTCGAGCACAAATATTTAAGGCATGAATGGTATGTTGAAGATATCACCTATTGGTGAAGCCTCTCTGACTCCTTGAGAGAAACGGGAGTATCGAGGTCAATATCCTCGTCGACGCCGGCGAGGAGGTCTTCAAGTACATCTTTCCCTCCGTGAGAAGCCCTGACATTTGTTGATACCCAATTTTTCCCTGTATTTTTTTAATACGCAAAATACCCTCGAAATAGCCTATATAGGCATATATAAGTAAATCCAAAGGTCCTATTATTTTTCCTTAATTTTTCAATGATTTTTAAATCAATTTACTATCCTATTTTATCAAGAAAAACCCAATGATGGTCCCTAAAATTATCATTTTTGGTGATTCATTTATTGGATTCTTATGTTTGTACCAAAATATGGCTAAGATATATTTTTACACATTTTTATAAATTTATTTGGTATTTTTAAGGATAAAATTGCATAATTGCAATATTAGCTATTTTTAAGTTTAAATCCGTCTCATATTTATAAAATGGGATTTTATATTTTTAAATTAATAATATATATTATATGACATTTTTGTACTTTTAATTTGTTTCCAGAAATTTGTTTATTATTTTTTATAATTTAAGAGGGAAAAAGAGGCTATTTAACTTATAGCCACATTTGGCTTTCTAATTTGGCCTAATTAAACCCAAGCCCCAACCCAAATTAGACCAATCCAATACCCAGCCCAATCCTAATTATCCTACCCGACCCACCTATCCCATCCAATCTGGACCGTTGATCATTCAGATCAACGGTCCCCGTTTAACTTACCTAAATTAAACCAAATGACCCCCTAATACCCCTCATTTTTCCCTCACTCGTCTCTATCTCTCTAACCTATGGTTCTCTCTACAACCTTCCCCACCCCCTCCTCTCTGATGAATTCTGTTCATCTTCCCCGGTCACCCTCTAACCTAGATCTGCGGTGGTTTCACCACCCACCAAGCCACCTATGGCTCCTCACGTTTGGTTGACTGAAGCTCCATCACTCGACCATGAAGGGTTATGTCCGGACCTCTGCCGATTCGAGTTCCACGGCCATCTCCGGTCCCGTTCCGGCAAGCTATGTCTATTTCGAAGCCTGGTCTCGACTCCTTTTGCTTAGATCCAAGCCTTTCTCGTCGTTTGGGTTCCTTTGAAAACCCTAGTTTTGAGGTTTTTCTAGTCTCTTTAGATCTGTTCCATATCCCTGCTTTCCTTAAGATTTTAAACGATTTTCGTGGCTTTTCTTTCAAAAACTACTTTCAAAACCATTTCTTTTCCGATCTAGGGTTTTTTCTGAAAGTATTTAAATGTTTCTCTAACTTTCTTTTTTGTGTGTATTTGCCTCTATTGTGTTCTTGTATTTTTTCTTCTATCATGTTCTTGTATGATTCTTCTACGGTGTTCTTGTATGCTCCTTCTACTGTATTTTCTTATACTGTGTTCTTGCATGCTTTTTCTCCTGTATTTTCCTCTACTGTATTCTTGTGTGTTACTCCTACTGTATCTTCTTTTACTATGTTCTTAAGTGTTCTTATTAAGTTCCACATAATGAGTTCTGGTTAAGCTTCTTCTAAAAAACGTCTTAATATGCTTCTCCTACTGTTCATATCAATTTTCCCATTATGTTTCAAATTAGTTTCTTCTACTCTGTTTCCTTTGAGCTCTTCTACTGTGTTCTACATGTTACTTTTCTATCATGTTTCGTATGAGATTCTGTTGCTGAGAGAAACGTGCTAGAAGTTTCAGTTCTTTTTTGAGACCTCTAAACCTGTTTCGATTTGATTACTTACCCTCTCATCTTTGCACTCGATTAATGGTGGAAACCCTAGAATTTGGGGGTTCTTCCAAGTTTGGCTATGTGATTTGCCTTAGCTAGGGTTTTATTTCAAAACCCCCAACTCTTCAGACCAATTTCGAGTCTCTGAACTGAGTTGGGACATCCTTGTCTTTCATACGACTCTGACTTTTGCTAAACTCTCCTAAACTCTTTTACACTGGATTCTTCTACTGATTTTACAATGACACGACATCTTCTTTCATGCTTGACATGTCTGTATGCTCTTTATATGTGATGAACTTCCCTCTAAAATGGCTTTCGAATTTGTGATTAGTTCGGACTCCCTTCTGAATAGGTCTGATTATTTTTTTTCGTTGTTTGCTGATTTTCCCTGTGGCTCGACTTAAGTTAAAAACCTTTCTCAGCTTTTCTGACTTGGTTCATTCATACAAAATCTCTAACCTTTGATTTACTGGCTACTAATTGATTTTCTTACCTTAATTGTACAACCACGTATTTCAAAATTTTGTACTTAAATAAAACTTCTATGTATTTACCCCTAATTGCCTACTTTGCACAAAGTGCTTATTTAATTTCTTTCCTCAAACAGTTTTTGCGCGTTTCTGAATTCCTTAATCAAGGGAAGTCTTGTGTGATTGATTCTAATTGATATTCAGTTCCTTAACTGCTTTCTTGCCTTATTTTTGCCTGATTTTCACACTATTATGGCACGAGCCTTTCACAAACTCAAGAGAATTGACAATCCTTCTGAACTCATAATCACACATAATAGTATTCTCTCTTCTTGTCTGTACTGTGGCTTGTTTACAAGACCTACTGCTTTTCTCTATTTGTTTCTTTGAAACTGGTATGTCCTATTTAAGGTTCAGCATCACAACAATGTGTTTATTTACAGCTTGTGTATCCATGTCTACTTACTGTTCCTGTAGAGTTCAATATTTAAATTAGCATGCCGATTTCTTTCTGCCTGTTTTTGTTATGAATCCCTATTCCCTACCCCCTTTATGTGTTTGAGCTATGGTTTAAGACATGGCAATATGTAAGTTATTGTCCATGAATTAAACTTGATCCTTTGGGATCCCAGCCTCTAAACAATATGTTCTAACAGGCTTATGGGTATGCTAGCACTCCCTATTGCTGGGTATGCCCACAGCGTGCTCTAGCTTCTTTCAACTTCCCTATTTCCCCTGCACCCCTATGTGTATTTATTTGTAACTGTTTCCCTTTCCCTTTCCCCCTTTCAGCACTCTATTTCTGCACTTGCACTCTCTCTTAGTCCCTAAGTTCTGCCCCCCTCTTGTGAGCCTTGCCTTTGGACCTTGAGTTCCCTCTGAACTTGGACACTTGAGGGCTGGCCCTTCCACATTGCACTATGTCTTAATCTGGTGATACATTTGGGTGTGAGCACTGCCCAGAGTCCATATAAGACTCTTAGGGAACTCTGACACATCCAAATGGGAGAAACGCTTTAGATCATGATCTCATTGGAGTTGGTTTACTTCATATTTCAAACAAGAAGTCTGAATCAGGCTCCCCTTGGTTGTACTTTTTCTGATGTATTCTTTTATTTTTCTGGGCTGTAATAATTAGTAATAAACTCTTGGGGATGGCTAGTGAAAAAGGGAGGTATAACTATGTATGCAAAGGGTAGATATCCTACCTATAGGTACTTTCTGAATTTCTGCACTCTCATATAGATATCCTGTCTATAGGTACTTTCTGAATTTCTGCAGTCTCATATAGATATCATGCCTATAGGTTATGTCGGAATTTCTGCATTCTCTCATATAGGTACCATGCCTGTAGGAATTCTGCATTTCTCATATAGATACCAGATCTGTAGGAATTCTGCATTCTCTCATATAGATACCACGTCTGTAATTACCCGGAAATCTGAATTCTACATATAGAAAATACGCCTATTGGTCTTTCTAAATCTCGCATATCTATTCTTCATTAGGCAATCATGTTTATAGGTCTTAATCAATCAACTGTAATTAGATATCATGTTCATAGGCTCAGCATCTAGATATCATGTCCATAAGGTTTCTGCATTTCCCCATGTCTATAAAAAGGTTTAAAATCAACAACGCATAGAAAGCATGTCTATAGGAGCATTTAATCAAGTCTGAATCGCTTCACTCGCTTATAAGTCTAAAACCAGTAATAATGACATACCATCAGTTCTAGAACTTATGATCTCTCGCTAAAACTTGCCTTTCTTTAATAACTGACAACTTTTCTCAAATCAGTATGTATTCAGTTTACTTCATTATTTCTGAAATCAGTAGATATCATGCCTATAGGACCCTCATCCAACACTTAGGCAAACCATAGGGTAAATTTTATAAACTGAGTCAGATTTTTATTAGCTACAACCAGCAGGCAGGCTTGATTCGGGCTTCTTATCTGAACTATGTAACAAATCAGTCTGCCTCAACCTTTAAGTTTTAATCAGACCCTAAACAGTATGTGCAAGACATGCTAAATTATTTGCTTCTCTGTCAAAGGAGGTATATCTGAGTCTTTTACTTGTTATGTGCTTCCCCTAACTTGCTATACGTGTTTTTGTATTTCGCCTTGCCTTTGAAACTATAAACAAGCCTAATATCCCTTCCCTTTAGGATTAGTTTTCCTAAATGCATCCAGGCTAATAGGATTGGAGCGGGTAATAGCATGCAATAAGTAAACGAGACCATTCCACGCTTTAATACCCTAACGAGGCGGAAAAGGGTAGATATGGATATGACGACCACGCGATAACATCACGTGTAGCCCCTCACTGAGGATTAATTACCGAATGTTGTGTGGGGTGATCCATATCATTTATAAACCTAGGACCCCCCCTCCCTTTGTTTCTTTGTTTCTTTGCTTCTTCTCCAATTTCAAACTATGTCTTTAAGAAAAATCAGCTTTCTTTTGGTTCTTTCTAACTTTGTTTATTTGTAACCATTATGTGAAAATCCCCTCTTACTTGAAGTCTTTATTTGCCTATGTGCGCTTAAGTTCACAATAATAGTTTGGCCGGGAACCATACTAGTGGATCCTGAGGGGTGCCTAACACCTTCTCCTTGGGATAATTTCAAGCCCTTACCCAATCTCTGGTTATTCAAATCAAACCCTTCTTAGTGTCCTAATGCACTTTAATCATTAGGTGGCGACTCTTCTAATCAAACCCAATTCCCCAAAAGGGAACGAGTTGTCCTCCTAAATGTCATAAACCCGATTTTGCGAGAAAAAAAGGGGGCGCGACAGCATGGCGACTCTGCTGGGGATTTCTTTTAGGCTTTTACCATTTCAGGCTATTATTGTGACTTTACGCTTCTTTATATGTCTTTATTTGCTTAATGCCTTCAAGTATTTAATTCCTTCTTCTA